ATGTTAAGCAGGAAGCTGCAAAACAGAGCTATGTTGAATTCTTCAAAAAGCTGTTAACATGAGAGTTTGCTTTAAGGTTATTCCTTATTACCTTTACACTTTTAGTGGGGAAAAGTCCTTAAAAGAAATAGCAGAACTGAGAAAACTACTTTTGCATTAAGCAAGAATTTGATTACCTTACTTCTCAAGTTAAGAGCAACTTGGGGTTTAGCCGGTTGGACGGGGGATGCTGATTCTCCTCAGCAGGGACAATACAGTTCCCTAGACCTCATTAGCTGACCTCTGCTAACACTCCTATTTCTAATGTTGAAGTCTGATTCTATGGCTGTCCTTGAAGGAGGTCACCAGCACGCCCTGCATTAGGACAGCCTGGGTGCTCTGCGTTCCAATGGCCTAGTCTTTCTTCTTACTGCTGATTCGGCTCAGCCCGCAGGACTCCTGTGGCAGGAGTGGTCCCCAGTATTGATGCTGAATTCTGCAGTTACTGTGAGGTGCTTCTTGCACAGCTTTGGGCAGTAATGGGGCCTGTTTCTCTATCTTTTAGCCTTGTCAGTTATATCTTGGTTGTTTAATACTTGGAAAGGCTTTTCAACCAACTGTGAGAAAGGAATTTGTGAACTCACAGCTTTCTGCTTTGTTTTGATTATTTTAAACTCTGTAGCACCTCTTCTTACAATGAGTTTCCCAAATCTATCTCCCCATCATGGAAATTTAGGGAGCTTGTATAAGGGAGGAGCAGAACCATGAGAGTGAGAAGTTTATACAGTGTGTTTTCTTTTTCTTTGGGTATTTTGGTCTGGTGATGTGCTAAAATTAATAATTCCTATGTGCAGATTACCGGGTAGACAGACTTTAGTTTTAAAAAGGAAGATTACCAAGAGAAAAACTTCTTCCCTTGCTGCTTGTTCTCATAGCTCTAACTGGCATATAAGCCTTCCAGGTTGTGCCAAGAAATCTGGAGAACAACTACCTGGCCAACTGACAGGAAGAGATCCATATTTATTCTCATTCCAAATAAAGGTGACCCGATAGAGTAAGGAAATTATCATATAAAATCACTCAGACCATATGCAAGCAAAGTTCTGCTGAAGATTATCCAGAAACAACTGGGACAGTACATTGACAGAAAAGTACCAGAAATACAATCTGGGTTTAGAAAAGGCTGTGGCACTAGAGACATTATCGTCAGTGTCAGATGGATCTTGGCAGAAAGCAGAGAGTAACAGAGGGATATCTTCTGCGTTTCACTGACTATGCAAAGGCATTTGACTGTGTGGATCACAACAAATTATGATTAACCTTGAGGAGAGTGAGAATCCCAGAACATTTGATTGTGCTTATGTGAAACCTATACATGGACCAGAAACAGAGCAAGGAAACGCTGCATGGCTCAAAATCAGGAATGGAGTACATAGGGGACGAGTCCTGTCTTCATATCTTTTCAATCTGTATACGGAACAGGTCATTCGGGAGGCTGGGCTTTATGAGGAGAAATGCGGCATCAGGACTGGAGGAAGACTCACAAACAATCTGTGTTATGCAGATGATACAACCCTGCTTGCCGAAACTAAGGCAGACCTGAAACACCTGTTGCAGAATGTAGTCTTCAATATGGATTGAAGCTCAACATCAAGAAGACAAAGATTCTCATTACTGGGCCAACTGGCAGCACCATGATGGATGGAGAAGAGACTGAGGTTTTAACAGTTACAGCTTGGCCAGCTCCACAATCAACACTCTTGGAATAGCAGTCAGGAAATCAAAAGACAAATTGCATTAGGTAAATCTGCTGTCAGGGACCTCCCCAGAGTACTGAGAAGCAAGAATGTCAGTCTAGAGACTAATGTGTGCCTGATCCAGGCCCTGCTCTTCACAATTACTTGTTTTGCATCAGAGAGCTGGACAATGACTAAGGATGACAGAAGAATAGAGTTGGGGTGCTGGAGAAGAGTCTTGAAAAAATATACTATGGACCACAAGAGATCAAATAGGTCTATCTTGGAGAGGATGAAACCAAGTTTCTCCTTGGCTAGAATATTGAACTCCATGTCACATTCTTTGGACATGTGGCTAGGAAGGGCCAATTCTTGGAGAAAGACATGATGCTCGGAAGGGTGGAGGGACAACACAGGAGGGGAAGACCCTGGGTGAGATGGACTGACACAGTAATTGGGGCCATGGGGGTAGGTGTGTTGGAGACAGTGTGACTGGCTCAGGACAGGGCAGGGTTCAGAGCTGTTGTACATAGTTGCAATGAGTCACAAGCAACTCCACTGCACAAAGCAACAACACAGTAACATGGAATTCTACAGTCCCTCCTGCGTAGGTCACAAATCTAAAACCAATAGCTACTTTAAATTCTTCAAAGGCTTTAGTCTCCTTATCACCCCATGTAAATTTGGGGTTTTTTTTACTAGTGACTTTGTGACTTACTAGTGACTAGTGACACCTCTTAGCTGTCGGCATGTTGGTATATATGCTCAGGCTAGATAGGAGTGCCCTGAGCTGTATAAGGTCACTATGGAAACTGGGGTTGGGACTCTGCACTCAATTTATGCCCAGAGCACATCTCATTCACGCACACACACACCCTCCAGAATGACCCAACCCACCAAGGGCATACCTACCACCCCCATGGGTTTTCTCACCTGGCTGGCCTAACTCCTAAGGGAGTATTTTCTGTCCCTGCAGCTTTCCTCACCTTAGCCTGTGCATGGAGTTCCCTGGTCACCACGGTGCTTGCTTCACATGCCTTGCTGAAAGTCTGGGCTTATTTACTTCTGTGGGGAGGCTTCACCCCCCTCTCGCCTGAGGGCTACCACACTATAGGATGAGTCTCCCTCAGGGGAAAAGGCTATCCCAGGGGAGCTCTCAAACTGTTAGAAACATGGCTGAACAGGAGTTAGGAGCAATACCTGTATCATCTTTTTTTGTCCTTTTCTCCCCCTCACTGTGAAAAACAAGTTTAACCCAAGTCATACCCTGGACCCAGTACCTGCTATGACAGTACTGTGGGTTTCTGGTTCATGACTATAGTTCAGTGTACTATAGACATATTTTCAAATAAAACAGATTGTGTACAACAACAACAACAAAAAGAAACATGGCTTGGTGTCACAACAGCAACAAAGCAGAACAAGAGATCTTGACAAGGCGTTTTACTTCCACCTGGACGCCAGAGCAGACGTAGGTCTGACAAACAAGCACTTACACACAGTCGGCTTGGGTTTTATCCCCAACACGAAAGCTAAGGCTATGTCTCACCCTATCGGTCAAGGGTTTCTAACTCACAGTATTGTTTCTACCTGGTTTGCTAACTTGACCTATTCTTGAAAGGAGGGGGCTAGGGCTTGAGGATGTTTGGAATGTCTTTGTTTCAGAGGATGATAGAGCACAAGAAATTGGCCTTGGCTGGTTTGTAAGAAGATACAAAGACAAGAGAATTTCTTAGTAATTTTCAGAACCTATTTTTTGTTTCAGCTCTAACTCCATCTTGTGACTTTTGAAGAGAAGATACATACGTCCTTCTCTCTTACAGGGTCATGCTGCTGACCCTGAGGGTCACACCGCTGACCTTGTGGCCACATCACTGACCCTGGGCCCACACAGCTGACCCTGGGGTCACATGACTGACAGGACGTTGCAAGGAGCTCCCAGGCCAGCCCACCCCTCTGAGCACCTACTCTGACAGGCACCCTGAACAACCCAAGTCCACTTAGAGCAAGACTGTTCTTAGTGAAGGCTCAGCTTGTGTTGATGAAGTGACCTTCGCGTCAGTGTCTGCAGTGGGGGCAGCCTGACTTCTGCTGCCCATTTTCTTCCCCCTTTCTCCCTCCTTCCTTCCTTCTCTCTCCACCCCCTAGAACTCCTTATTTCTCTCTCTCTTCTTATCTCTCCCCCTCTGTCTCTCTCCTCATCCACCCTCCTCTCCTCTCCGTCTCTTATCAAACTCTCTCAGCCCCCCCTGGGTTCCTCCAGATACAGGGACACAGAGATGAATGGACGTGGCTGTCACAGAGTTCAAGTCCAGAAATGAGGGCTGGGGCTGGACCAGCAAGAAAGCCATGGGGTCAAGCGGTCAGGAACCCAGTGGCCATTTAGCCTCTGGAGCAGCCTGTGTCAGGGAAGCAGTCTGTATGGACAGCGTTTACCCTGCACTCGAGACGCTGGCCCGCCCATCTTCTGCTCCAGTTGGGCTGCTTCTTGGCCTCTGGGTCCTAATAAGAACAGCAGCTGCTGCTCCCCCAAGAGCTGCCAGGCCAGGTGTAACCACATGCAGGGACAGCAGGAGACCTGAGTCAGATCTTTGCTGCATAAATCCCCATCACATCCTTCTATGCAGAGGGAGAAGTTCTAGACCTAAATTACCTGGAACAGGGTCAACATGATGTAGAGATGGTTCTAGAACTAAACTCCAGGAACAAGGGGCCCCATGCCCCAGAGACAGTTCTAGACTTGAGCCGTCTAGAACAAGGGACCTCATGGTCCAGAAAAGTTCTAGAACTAAACCACACACAAGAGGGTCTCCCTGACCCAGAGTAGGTTCTAGAACTGAACCACCCAGAACAGTGTTCCCATGACCCAAGAGAGGTTCCAGAACTAACAACCTGGAACAGGGTCCTCAAGACCCAGAGTAAGTTAAAGAACTAAACTATCTAGAAAGAAGTTGTTATTTCAAAGATTGCATAGATGTTGTTTCAAGTTTTCTCTTTAAAACACATTCCTGCCTTTACTACCCATTTTTGTCATGACTGCACCAAAGCCTCAACTCCAGCGTGTGGAGCAAGCTTGAATCACTATCTCTGAAGAGAAGTTGCTGCTGTTTTTGTTGTTCTCCAGGGTTTACAGGCCTCCCGGCCTGAGAGGTTTGTAGTGTGGTCTTCGCTGCGAGCACAGGCTGAGATGTGAGGTTTGTGGTGTGGTCTTCACTGCGAGCACAGGCTGAGATGTTGTCTCTGGAGCCAGGACCCCGTATCCAACCTGCTCTTTGTGTCCCCCAGCCGCCTGCATCACATAATGGCCGAGATGGTCTCCACAGAGAGAGAGTACGTCAAGTCCTTAGGGTACGTGGTGGAGAACTACTTTCCAGAAATGGAGAGGATGGATCTGCCCCAGGATCTGCGTGGAAAACGCGGCACCATCTTTGGGAACCTGGAGAAGCTCCATGACTTCCACGTCCAGCACTTCCTCAGGGAGCTGGAGCGCTGCCGGCTCTGCCCGCTGGCTGTGGGCTGCTGCTTCCTGAAACACGTGAGTGCCAGTCACAGGGCCGTACTTCCACTCCTGAAATTGGTGAGAGCCAAACACAAGGGGGGGCGAGGGGGGGGTGTCTCACACACACACATTTTTTCCCCTCCTGAAACACATAAGTGCCACACTTCTTCCCCTCCCAACAATGGGGCCCTCTTCTCAACCATGAATGTGAAATAGCTCTCTATTTGGGGTCTTCTGGTTCACCTCTTAATAAAACCTTTCATTCACTCTAAAAATTCAACAACTACCACTGTGACAGTATCTTGGGTGCTGGTGAGCCAAACGACTGAAACAGCAGCTTCAGATCTGAAAGATTTTTTTTTTTAATTCTCTGAACTTTAAAAGAATATATTTTGCTTTACTAATTCCTGAAATATACAGTCATTTCTAATTCATGGCATGGGTTTTAAGTCTTATGTCTGCAGAGTTTGCACTTTGCCTTCAGGGCATTTGATTTGTCAGAAGAGTACAGCCTGTGAGAATCATGTTCAGGAAAGTCTGCCTGAGTGAGGGTCCCTGGTGCTGGAAGCAGTTACACACTCAGCTACTCATCAAAAGGGTGGCGGTTTGAGCCCACTCGGGCGCATGGGGGAGGGGAAACCTGTGTGGCTCGAGTTGCTGGGCGGAACTGATGGACTGACTCACTTGGCTTTTTCTTCGTATTCAGAACAAATTCAACGTTTCAAGGATTCCTTCTAACCCTGTCAAATTAATTTTCCATAACAATAACCTATCAGAACCATTGTGCGGCTCACCTTCCCTGGAGTGGCATTTTTTAGATATAAGCTGCTTCCTTTCTTCTTTCCCCTTCATATTCACAACTAAAATGTACTCCACCGTAGGAATCCCATCACTTTCTGCAGTGCCAACTGCTACATACATACCACTCAAAGTTTTCTGCACTCTACAACGTCAAGGATGTATTCTGTCTCCATACCTTTTCAATCTGTATGCAGAACAGATCATCCAAGACGCTGGGCTATACGAAGAGGAATGTGGCATCAGGATTGTGGAAGAATCATCAACAACCTGCGTTATGCAGATGACACAACCCTGCTTGCTGAAACTGAGGAGGACCTGAGGCGCTTGCTGCAGAAGATCAAGGACTGCAGCCTCCTATATGGACTGAAGCTAAACATCAAGAAAACAAAGATTCTAACCACTGGGCCAATTGGCAGTATCAGCATGGATGGTGAAGAGATTGAGATAGTTAACAGTTTTAATTTACTTGGCTCCACAGTCAACACTCTTGGTAACAGCAGCCAGGAAATCAGGAGATGAATTGCATTGGGAAAGTAGGCTGTGAGGGACCTCTCAAGAGTACTGAAGAGAAACGATGTCAGGCTGGAGACTAAGGTGCGCCTGATCCAGGCTATAGTCTTCGCAAATTATGTGCTATGCATCAGAGAGTTGGACAGTGAATAGGGTTGATAGAAAGAGGATTGATGCCTTTGAGCTGTGGTGCTGGAGAAGAGTGTTGAATATAATACCATGGACTGCTAGGAGAACAAACAGGTTTGTCCTGGAGAGGGTGAAGCCAGAGTGTTCCCTGGAGTCAAGATTCTGAAGCTTCGTCTGACATATTTTGGGCATGTTGCAAGGAGAGGGACATCATGTTTGGCAGAGTGGAAGTGCGGTGAAGGAGAGGAAGACCTTTGGTGAGATGGATCGATTCTGTGACTGGAGTGGTGGGAATAAGTGCGTTTGAGATGGCTAGGTTGGCACAGGACAGAACAGCATTTAGAGCTCTTGTAACATAGGGTCGCTGTGCGTCGCAAGCGACTCGATGGCACATAACAACAACAACAACCAAGCCAACTTTGCTAATTTTTCTTGTTAGAAACCAAAAGTAAACTCTTTCACATTCTAACCACTTTTATTTCTGCAGTATCCAAAACATTTTATTGCAGATCTACATTCTAACAGCTTTTATTTTCTTTTATCAATTCACTCAAATAGCATATGAGAAAAAAAATATCTTTTTGGCCCTTAAAATGGAATTTCAGGACTTCACCTCTAGAATTGGGCATTAGAAAACGGCTCAGTACCCGTTGCAGCCACAGGCGGCAAATCTGCTAGTGATTCTGCAGAGCGCTCCACACTCCTCGCGGTCCAGAGGAACCAGGACCAATGAGTGGTGCCCCATGTCTGGGACCTGGAGGCATTGGTAGGAAAGTCAAACAAGTCTCTAAATGGATCCCTTGATTCACTGCCAATATTGCAACCCCTCAAGGTGTCAGAGAGAGAGGGAGGAGGATAAAACTCAAGAGACGCAGTGCCTTTCCTCTGCTCTCGGTGGCCCTGTCTTCCCTCAGAAAGCCTCTGCAGGTCGTACTGCACCATCAGGGGGAGTGAGACCAGAGCGTTGCACTGGCTTAACCTCGTTATTTCTGGGCTCGTGTGGGTAGGGTGGGGTGTGTCCATGTGTGTGCTTGTGTGTCCAGCTGTGTCTCTGTGTGACACTTATCTCCCACGTGTGTGTGTGTGTGCGTGTGTGTGTGTGTGTGTGTGTGTGTACAAGCGCGCGCATGTTCCCATCCACATCTCAGCCCGTGTAGGTGGTCTACACTCCCTGCTGCGTGTCTGTCCGCTCTTGCTGACACGTGCAGAGACTTCTGTCTTCTTCTCCAGGAGGAGCAGTTCAGCATGTACGCGCTCTACACCAAAAACAAGCCACGCTCCGACGCTCTGCTCAGCAGCCACGGCAATGCCTTCTTTAAGGTCAGCCGCTTCTGCCCTGCTTGAGGGCCCCTAAAATCCCGATGGTCCTGCTAAGCTCGTGCTCACCTGCCCCCTCACCCCCACAGGCCAAGCAGCAGGCCCTGGGCGACAAGATGGACCTGGCCTCTTACCTGCTGAAGCCGGTGCAGCGCATGAGCAAATACGCACTGCTGCTTAAGGATCTGGTCAAGGAGGCGAGCCGCAGCCCTGCCCGGGAGGAGGAGCTCAGCCAGCTGCGGGCCGCCGAGGACATGGTGCGCTTCCAGCTGCGCCACGGAAACGACCTGCTGGCCATGGACGCGGTGCGCGGCTGCGACGTGAGTGCCCGTGCGTCTCCTGCCGCGAGTCCAGACAGCGAGCCCAGGCCGCGCGCAACCCACCAACTCAGGCCTGCGAGCCGCCCACACCCCCAGGAGCCCGCGCCCTCCTATCCCTGAGCCACCGCAACCCCGATCCTGCCCCCAGCCGGATCGTGCCCCAGCCCGCGCGTCCTCACGTTTGCATACGGTCCCCTACACTGAGCCTGCGCGCCTCCCGTACCTCCCAGGAGTTCTCGCCACCCTCGACCCAGAACCCACACTCCTCCCCAATCCTTTCGCCGCCCCCACACCGAGCCTGCGCAGTTCTCCAACCCGCGCCCACCCCCAGCCCTTGCAAAGCCCCCCACCCCAGGAACCCGAGCCTCAGTGAGAACCGAGACCTGCATTGAGCTGAGACCTTGTGCGCAGTTGCAGCCTGGCATGGAGGGGCTGAGGCGACACTGCGCCTTCCAGAGGGTCAGGTTTGAGGAAGCTGGACCCTCATTAAGCCTTATTAAGCACGTCACTAAAAAGCTCAGGATCACAGCCACAAGCCCATCAAGGGTCAGCAGCCCTAGAACCACAGAGCTGCCAGGCTGTGCACTGCCAGGCTTTGCTCAGCAGGGCCTGCGGCATTTCACCTCCAGCCCTTGTCACCACGCCTGGTGAGGGTGACCAGTGCTGCCCAAATTGCTCTTCAAGGGCATGGGTATAGGAAATGCTACAGTCACCCAGAGACCACGGCCTCACATGAAGCAGCAGAGGGAGAAGAGGCGTGCCTGAGCTTGAGGGCTTCACTGGCACCAACAGCTTAATGATCAACAGGGGCACACGTTAGACTAGGTTGGAGGAAAGTGTGTTCATGACAACTGCACTGATGCAGGATGCTGGAGTGTCCTGTCCTGCCTGAGGGGACTCCAGTCCCAAGGCCCTGCCCTGGTCTAGAGCCCCATGTTGGCGAGTACTGTGGCCACTCTGTCTGGTGGGACCTGTCCTGAGTCCCGCACCCTCCACGCCCTCACCACCCCCAGGTCCCCTGGAAATGAGCTCTTCCCCGTGGGAAGCCTCTTACCATAGGCTCCATGACATCTCATGATGCCCACCTTTAGCCTGGCTGTGCCCCTCAGGGGTGGCACCACTTGCAACCACTTCCTCCCACCCCAGGTGGCTTGTGTGGACCTTGGGCAGTGATGCCAATTTGAGGAATTAGCTCCTGTGACACTAGGGAGGTCAGGTAGGCCAGTGTGGGTTGCAAGGCTTTGTGCTCCGAGAAGACACAGCTTAACTTAAAATTTGTTAGATTTTGGGTTCAAAGCTAGCAAGTTTACAGAGGAACAGGAGCATGGCCCCATTTCTCCTCTATCTTCCAAGGGACCCACCCCGATATTGAGTAGGAAAACCTAACCCTAATAATTGTGCAGCAGCAGTCTGGTCCTCACCTCACAGGCGTTGTCCCCCTTCAGGTAAACCTGAAGGAGCAGGGGCCCCTCCGGTGCCAGGACAGGTTTGTCGTCTGCCGTGGCCGGAGGAAGTACCTGCGGCAGGTGTTCCTCTTCGAGGACCTCATCTTGTTCAGCAAAACCAAGAAGGTGGACGGTGGCTACGACGTTTATATGTATAAGCAGTCCTTCAAGGTAACGCTCCAGTGTTGGCTCAGGCCTCACTGAGCCCGGAAGAGCAGATTCTAAAAGACCAGGCCTCCCTAGAACAGCACTCCCCTCCCTGAGGGACTCTCCCCAGAAAAGCAGACTCTAAAGCACCACAAATTTCCCCAAAACTGCCGATCATAAGGGACCACAGCCTCCCCAGAACAGCACTCCTCAAGAGCCCCACATCTCCCCTGATAAGCAGAGGCAGCCAAGTGGAATCTGGGATTTGTCAGTGGCTGGCAAGCATATATGCCCCTGAAAAGGTCCCGAGCTCAAAGCCGAAGTTCTCAGACTAGAGGGGGTCCTAGGAGGGTTGGCTGGGGCCCTGGTGGGTATTCTCTCCCACAGGCTAAGAATGTGGAAGCCTGGGAGCTATTGGAGAGACCCTCAAGACCATAAAGCTATTTGTGGGCCACTGCACAGTGGAGAGGGTGACCAAGGCCTGGAACCTTCTAGGCAGACTACCTCTTACCCAAATGGTGCCGTAGGCCCAGGGCAAGGTCTCTGCTACCACCCACCTGCATTGGGGCCTCTTTGCTGCCACCCCTGCACCCGGGCCTGGGGGCACCTCTCCACTGTAACTCCCCAGCCCCCCCTTTGCTATGGAGGCAATGCTGGCCCCCGGGCTGTGCATTCTTTGCTGTGCTCAGACGGCTGAGATCGGAATGACTGAGAACGTGGGCAGCAGTGGTCTGCACTTCGAGATCTGGTTCCGTCGGCTGCGGCGGCGATCTCAGGACAACTACATCCTGCAGGCGAGCTCGGCAGAGGTGAAGGCCACCTGGACCAGCATCATCTCGAGGATCCTGTGGAGGCAGGCCCTGCGGAACCGAGGTGGACATCGCGTTTGGGGTGGGCAGGGGGCTGGGTGAGCACGGTGGTATGTAGGGGAGGGGATTCACAGGAGTTCTGGGGAGGGGGGTAGGCCGGGGAGGGGCTTGGCCCAGGGAGGTGGAGAGGGTTGGCTGAGGAAGTGGTCAGGCCAGGGAGGGGTTCAGCCCAGGGCACTAGGACCCCTTCGTCACTGCAAGCTAACAGCATACCACCACCCATCCTCTCCTGTGTCTCCTAGCACAGCCCTCCCCCTAGGGCAGGGCCTATCCACTGTCTCTGCAGTGAGGGGGCCTCTCCGAGGACCCCACCTTGTCCTTTCTTGCTTTTCCTGTCCTTCCCATTGCCTCACTGCAAGTCCATCTCCATCTGCCCTCCAGAGATAGTTCATCCAAGGGGATCCCTTTGCCCAGACCTCACCTCAACGCCAGATTCACCCTTTAAGCCCCCCACAGCATAACCATCTTCTCAGACACACTGTGTCAAGGACCCTGGTGGTACAGTGCATTAAGCATGGGGCTCATAGCACAAAGGCTGGTGATTGGGCCCCGCCATCTGTTCAGAGAGGAACACAGCAGCCTGCTCCCGTTGAGACTTGTCCAGCCTCTGGGCTTGTCCATACTGTCCACTTGTCCATACTGTCCTCTTGTCCATACTACTTGTCCAGATTGTCCACTTGTCCATACTGTGGGCTTGTCCACACTGTCCGCCTGTCCACACTGTCCACTTGTCCATGCTGTGGGCTTGTCCATGCTATCCACTTGTCTATACTGTCCACTTGTCCATACTGTCCACTTATCCACACTGTCTATTTGTCCATACTGTCCACTTGTCCATACAGTGGGATTGTCCATACTGTGTCCATGATGTAGGCTTGTCCACACTGTCCACTTGTTCACACTGTCCATTTGTGCCGTGGGCTTGTCCACTCTGTCCACTTGTCCATGCTGTCTGTTTGTCAATACTGTCCACTTGTCTGTGCTCTGGGCTTGTCCATACTGCCCACTTGTCCAGACTGTCCACTTGTCCATGCTGTTGGCTTGTCCATACTATTTGTCCATACTGTGGGTTTGTCTATGCTGTGTCCGTGCTGTTGGCTTATCCATACTGTCCACTTGTCCACATTGTCCACTTGTCCATGCTCTGGGCTTGTCCATACTGTCCATTTGTCCATACTGGCCACTTGTCCATACTGTCCACTTGTCCATGCTGTGTTCGTGCTCTAGGCTTGTCCATACTGCCCACTTGTCCATGCTGTGTCCATGCTCTGGGCTTGTCCATACTGTCTATTTGTCCATACTGCGGGTTTGTCTGTGCTGTGTCTGTGCTGCAGGCTTGTCCATACTGCCCACTTGTCCATCTTGTAGGCTTGTCCGTGCTATATCTGTATGTATCCATGCTGTAGGCTTGTCCATGCTGTATCCGTCTGTGTCCATGCTGTAGGCTTGTCCATTCTGCCCACTTGTCTGTACTGTAAGCTTGTCCGTGTGGTAGGCACAGCTCTGAGAAGTGCAGGCTGAACCCTTCCCAGGTTATTTCTGCTTTACTTAAGCTCGTTGTTGCAGTCACGGGCAATCCATTTCACTGAAGTTCTGCTTTGCTCACCTTCCACTTTCCCAAGCACAATGTCCTTTTCCAGAGACTGGCTCTTCCAGATAACATGCCTGAAGTGTAGGAGACAGTCTCACCCTCCTTGCCTTGAAGGAGCACCCTGGGGGCACTTCTGCCGAGATATATACATCCATTCCTTGGCCATCCGTTACAGTCCGTACTCACAAACACCACAGTTCAGTGACATTGGCTCGTCAAAGGCCCGAATGTTTGAAGACGTTCATACACATGCCCTTTGGTTTTTCTTCCATCCTAGAAACAGTCCATAGTGGTGGTGCTGCAACCAAATAGCTGTACATATTTGGGGGTTCAAATCCACCAGCAGCTCTGCAGGAGAAAGACTGGCAGTCTGGGCTGAAATGAAGTGGGCAGCAAGGCCCCCTGACCTCCTTCTTCTTGGTCCATTCCCTTGGCTTCCTTGAGAGGCCACATTGTGAGGTCACTTGGGCTGCTTGTCCCAGAAGAGTGTCCTGGAGACTTTGGTCCCCACAGCTGCTCAGAAGAGTGAGGTGAGGCCAGCCAGCCAGACCCAGTGTGTCAGGGACACGAACCCATCAGTGCTGTATTAAAGTTACCTTACATGTCATTCTGTTTCAGAACTCAGGATCCAGGAAATGGTATCTATGGGTCTCGGCAATAAGCCATTCATGGACATTAAACCCAGTGATGCTGCCATAAGTGACCGGGCCATCGATTATACTGTGAAAGGGGCAGGTACAGTATGGGGGCTCTTGGACCTCAGGCCAGGCCCATGACCTTGTGGGCCAGTGTGGTAGTCAGGCAGGCGTCAGCATGGCCCACACCTGGCACAACTGAGGAAGAAGCAGGCGCCTCTCCAGTCCCTCATGTCTCCTTGATCAAAGCTGCATTCTGCCGTGTGGACAACCTTATCTTTTGTCCCCTTCTAGAGTCTCGGTCACGCGCATCCATTGCCGTGTCCTCATTTGACCATGAAACCACCTTCAAGAGGCCCCACTCCACCGTCTCGGACAGCAGCTCCTCTTCATCCAGTAGCCAATCCTCCTCTGTCCTGGGCTCACTGAACCTGCACGTGTACCCCGTGTACCCCGCTCCCCCAGGCTTGCCTGCCCGCTGCCCCTGGCCCTATGACGTCAAAGCCTGCATCAAGGAAGATGAGCTGGAGCCGGAGCCTGGGAGCCAGCCCTCGATGAGTGAGTGGATTCATCTCTGAGGCCACCATGCAGCCTTGCAGGGTTGGTCTGGTTAGGGCCGCGTTGCCAGAGACAGGCTTGGGCTCTGGGTGCTGGGCTGCAGGCCCTGACTCTGGGGACGACTGCTGATTTCTTTTTTAAAAAATGTATTAATTTTAATGAACGTTTACAGAGATTTTGCATTTCCATTGAGAGCTGGTTTCTGTGCCCCATGGTCCAGTCTCTGGGCCCTAGGTTCTGGGTTCTGAGCATTGGGGTGTGGGTTGCGTACTCCAGGTTCTGGGTCCTGGGATCTGGCTAAGGTCTGGGTTGGACCATCCAGCAGGTCTCTGAGGCTGTGAATCACATAGACAGCTGCCCGTCTACCCTGAGAGACTTGGCCTTTGGGTTTGCAGCACAACTATTTCACTTAATACAGAGAATGTTGATGGAGATAGTAATGACAATATTTAAGATAAGAAATGGACTATATTAAGCAAGCAGACTGTACAAAATGAAAGATTAGTGAATAGTGAACTTAAAGACATCCTAAGAGAAACTATTCCAAGTTATAGAGGGCTCAGGTCTATAAAGGGTCGCTATGAGTCATACTCAACTCGATGGCACCCAACAACAACAACATCCCAAGTTAAATGCAGAGCTCTAAGAATAATACAGAAAATGACAAGAATGTCATTGAGTTTTAGGATAGTCCACTACTCATTTCACTGGAGTTCCCAGTGCAAAAGATCATTGAAGAACTAATGGGTAGCTATTTTACAAATTTGATGAACACTATAAATCTTCCTTACAAGATGGTTGTTTAATCTCAAGCATAAGAAATTAAAATAAAACAATATGTTCAAATTTTGTATATAAAATAGTATAATAATAATAAAATAGTTGTTGCTGTTATGTGCCGCCAAGTCGCCTGCGAATCATAGAGACCCCTATATTACAATAGCCCTAAACCCTGCTGTATCCTGTACCAATCTTATTGTCTCTGACACAACTACCCCTATTACCCTGGTCACTGAATCAGTGCATCTCATCAAGGGTCTTCCTCTCCTGTGCTGTCCTCCACCCTCCCAAGCATGACGTCCCTCTCCAAGGACTGGTCCCTCCTTACAGCATGTCCAAAGTATGTCAGATGAAGCTTCATAACCTTGCCTCCAAGGAGCAGCCTGGTTTAACCCTCTCTAGGATGAATCTGTTTGTTTTCCTAGCAGTCCATGGTATATTCACTACTCTTCTCCAGCACCACAGCTCAAAGGCATCAATTCTCCTTCCATCATCTCTAATCATTGTCCAGCTCTCTGATGGGTAGCAAGTGATTGCAAAGACCATGGCCTGTATCAAGCGCACCTTAGTCTCCAGACTGACATCATTATACAAGGTAATATCATCACTAAGTTCAGAATCAATAAGAAATGGAAACCCTTAAAGATAGGAAAGAACTGATGGAATACTAACAGAGGTGTTTCAACGAATAGGTGCAGCTCTAGACATGCTCACTAGTCTATGCCAAGAAATTAGGAAAACAGCTACTTGTCCACCTGACTAGAAGTGATCTGTATTTATTCCTATTCTAAAAATAAAAAGAGATCCAACAGAACGTGGGAATTAAAAAATAATATCATTATATCACCTAAAAGTAAAATCTAAGTGAAGATTATTTAAAAATATGGAACAACACATCATCAGGGAATTGCAAGAAATTAAAGCTTGATTTAGAGGAAGCTGTGGAACAAGGAATGTCATTGCTTGTGCCAGATAGCTAAAAGCATGGAATATTGGAAAGATGTTTACTTATATTTTATTCACTGTGCAAAGACATTTTACTGTGTGGATCACAACAAATGGCTAACATTGAGAAGAATAGAAATCCCAGAACACTGTCTAAACAGCACTGGGAACTATGCTGCCTGGTGTAACATCAGGAAAGATATGTGTCTGGGCTGTACCTTTCATCCGTACCTGATTAATGTGGATGCTCTAAATCATTTGGGGATCTGGATTCTACGAAGTGTAGCATAAGGATTGAAGGAAGACTCATCAACAACCTGCACATAACCTTGCTTGCAGAATGAAGACTCAAATTACTGCAGGAAATCAAAGACTATAGACTTCAATATAGATTACATCTCAACATCAAGAAAACAAAAATCCTTAACACTAGACCAAAAGGCAATATCTTGGTACGTGGAGAAAAAATTGTTGTCGCTTGAGGTTTCATCTTACTTGGAGCCACAATGAACACCCATACTAGTAGTGGTCAAGAAATAAAAAAAAACTAAAAATAAAAATAAAAAAACACTAAAGCAAGCATGTTGCATTGGAAAAATCTGCAGTCAAGGATCTCTTTAAAATTAGAAATAGGTCCAAATTTACACTACTTTCAGTTGTTTCATCTGTGTCAGAAAGTTGGATAATAAGTAAGGATGATTGAAGAAGAATCGATGCCTTTGAAATGTGATGATGGAGAAGTGTACTATATCTCATGGATTATTGTTGTTATGTGCCGTTGAGTCACCTGTCGCAACCCTATATACAACAGTCCTAACCACTGCCCTTTCCCTTGCCAATCTTATTGTCTCACGCACACCTATCCCCGTTACCCCAGTCACTGAATCAATTCATCTCATCAAGGGTCTTCCTCTCTGTGCTGTCCTTCCACCCTCCCAAGCATAATGTCCTTCTCTAAGGACTGATCCTGCCTTGCAACATGTCCAAAGTGTATCAGACAGTTTCCGAATCCTTGCCTCCAAGGAGCAGCCTGGTTTCATCCTCTCTAGGATGAACCTGTTCTCCTAGCAGTCCATAGTATATTCAATACTCTTGTTCAGCACCACAGCTCAAAGGCATCAACTCTCCTTCTATCATCCCTAGTCACTGTCCAGTTCTCTGATGCATAGCAAGTAATTGCTAAGAATATGGCCTGGATCAGGCACATCTTAGTCTACACACTGACATCGTTGCACTTCAGTACTTTGAAGCGGTCTCTGACAGCAGACTTTCCCAATGCAATTCATCTTTTAATTTCCTGGCTGCTAGTACCAAGAGTGTTGATTCTAGAGCCAAGCAAACTGAAGCTGTCAACAATCTCAATCTCTTCACTATCTATCATGATGCTGCCAATCAGCCCAGTGGTGAGAATCTTTGTTTTCTTGATGTTGAGTTTCAATCCATATTGGAGGCTGCAGTCCTTGACTTTCTGCAGCAAGCGCTTCAGGTCCTCCTCAGTTACAGCAAGCAGGGTCGTGTCATCTACATAACGCAGGTTGTTGATGATTCTTCCTCCAATCCTGATGCCACACTTCTCCTCATAGAGCACAGCCTCCCAGATAATCTATTCTGCATATAGATTGAAAAGGTGTGGAGATAGGATACATCTTGACGCACACCCTTCCCAGTTTTAAACCCTGCAGTGTTTCCTTGCTCTGCTCTGATGTCTGTCTCCTGGTCCAAGTATGGGATAGTCAAAAGAAAAACAAGTCTGTTTGGAAGAAGTGCCCCCAACATGCAAGGATGGTGAAATTTCACTTCATGTATTTTAGACATGTCGTCAGGAGGGCCCAGAGTTGTCACCGATCACCCGACTACGGTCGTGACAAGAAACTCAAGGGGTTTCTTGGTGAAGAGCAGGTGAGGGACGAAGTCGGCGAAAATGAGAGTCTGCACACCAGGATGATGTAGAGAGCTCTGATTTATTATGCTAAAAGCTTGCTTTTTATACATTTAAACTTGTTTAAACTTGACTTATAG